TTTTCTACTCTTCGCTGTTATTTTCATGAGGCCTCCAGAGTTTGAAGAAAGCGGTGCATTTCCTCAGCCTGCTGTCTGGAAGGGAGGAGCTTCGCTGAGTTCTCGGTGCTTGCTGTGCTTTCTTTCCTTTCCCCCTTGCTTTAGGCCCTGGGTCAGCTTTCTTCTTCGCTTCCGACATCTGCCGTTCCCTCCCTCCCTCCTGGCAGAGGGACCTTGAGTCTTTTCTCTTAGAGAAACCGAGAGCTCAGGTGGGAACCCTCCTGTTTGCCGTTCCCGTCCCCCAGTCTGCAGACTCACCTTCCTCACCCCCTGCCCGCACCTCTTTCTTTCTCTCCCAGAGCAAGTGCATTCCCTTCTTACTGTCCTCCACCGAACCTTCGATCAGCAAGCTGTACAGGCTCTCTCCCCCCACCCCCACTGCCCAGCCTCTCCCCTGGGCGGCACACAAAGTGCCTGAACTCTGCACCCAGCTCTGACCTCCCTTCCTCAGATTCTGTTTCTCATTGGTGACTGAGTATGCTCACTCACATACCCAGTGCTTCCTCAAATGCAACATGTCTACAGCTGGCGTCTTTCTTTCTTTTTAAAATATGTTTTCATTGATTTTAGAGAGAGGAAGGCAGAGGGAGAGAGAGATAGAAACATCAATGATGAGAGAGTCATTGATCAGCTGCCTCCCGCATGCCCCCGACTGGGGATCGAGCCCACCAGGGATGTGCCCTGACCGGGAATCGAACCGCAATCTCCTGGATCATACGTCAGTGCTCAACCGCTGAGCCACGCCAGCCAGGCTGGCATCTTTCTTCCTCTCTGAAAAATCAACTCCTCCTTATATTTTCCCATTTCACTGAGTAGTGGCATGATCTACTGAGTCCCCCCAGCCACAAGTTTCGGTGGTTGATGGGTTTTTTTTTTACTTTCTTGAATAGTTCTAGAAGTGCATTGGCCAATACAGTNCCAGCCACAAGTTTCGGTGGTTGGTGGGTTTTTTTTTACTTTCTTGAATAGTTCTAGAAGTGCATTGGCCAATACAGTAGCTACTGGCTACATGCAATTATATAAATTCAAATTTAAATTGATGAAAATAGAATACAGTGGACAATTCAGTTCCTCAAGTACGGTAAGCACATTGCCAATGCTCACTAGCCACGTGTGACCATGGTGGACAGTGCGGTCAGACCATGACCATCACTACCAGAACTTCAGCGCTGATCTAGGGTGCACTTGCCATTTCGCTCCAATGTCACCCAAACTGTCCGTACGGCACTTGGCTCACCTCCTCCCCCCCTCATTCCAGTCCATTCTCTTCTCTGATCAAATGATTTTTATAAAACCCCTCTCTCCCTTTGGGAGCCATTAAGACATAAATGAGAGGAGCAGGGTTCTAGCATTTTAATGTCACTTCCTTCCTTATATGAACCCTTCAGAGCCCTCCCCGTTGCCCTTCTCTTTTATTTGCTTATTGAACAACTACTCAGCCTTCAAGATTGAATCCCAGTGTTTCCTACCCTGGGAAGGCAGAGGTGATGTTTCTTCTACACTGTGACACTCCCCGTAGGTTCCCCTGTTCAGAGCACGGGTCATATTGTAATGTTTGGCTGGACTGTGAGCCCCTGAAGGACAAGAAACTTCCCTTCAGACTCTGCCAGGTTTCCGATGTATGTAACAAGATTAACCTCTCTTTTGGCATCTAGATTGGCACTGGCTACGTACTAACTTTAGGAGAAATAAACAAGTGGCCTTTCAAATCATGTTCTGTGTTCTGCTTTTGAAGAGCTCCAAGGTCGTAAGGGGTGATGAGTGACCTTCCCACAAATATCCATTCCTAGCTGAGGGGTAGCTGTGATTCCTGACCATCCCATGACTCCAAACCACATACATTGTAGAGAGGAACATACAGGGTGAGACAAGAGTAGGTCTAACAGTTCATATGGAAAATAATACAATAATTAATAACAAGAATAAACTGTGTGTTTCGCTTGCTCACAACTGTAAACTTACTTTTGCTCCATCCTGTATTTTCCTCAATAAAGTATCTTCAATAAAAGATGGGTATGTTAGTCAATTACCTTAAACGTGGTGACCTAAACCAACAGAAGTGTATTCTCTCACAATTCTGGAGTCCACAAAGTCAAGTTGTTGGCAGGGCTGTCCTCCCTCCAAAGGCTCTAGAAGAGACTCCTTTCCTGCTTCTTCCAGCTTCGGGTCCCTCCTGGCGTTCTTTGACCTTCATCCTCACATGACCTTCTTCCCTGCGTCTGTCTCAAATCTCCCCCCCTTTTTCTGTATGAGGACTCCAGTCATTAGATTTAGGGCCCACCCTATATTCAGGGTGATCTCATCTTGAGATCCTTAACTAGTTACATCTACAAAAACCATATTTCAAAGTAAGGTCACTTTCACAGGTACTGCGGGTTAGAATCTGGACATACCTTTTGGGGGGGAACACAGTCCAACCTGCGATGGATGAGTGTAAAAGTAAGGATCTAACAGCTGTGTTTCTTCCCCTCCTGAGCCTTACCTAGGCTGAGCCAGCAAACTATAGCCTTCACGTCTGTGCATTTATTCATTGATATTAAGACTCTTCCCTCCCCAAAATCAAGGGAGGAGAGAAGTCTGTTTAACTCAACCACCTCTCTCTCTCTCTCTTTCTCCATGACACACTCATCCCACTCCCTTCAACTGGATTTTTTTCACTGCCTAACAATGATCATTAAATAATAAAGCATTGACCAAAATAAACATCCCTTAGTTTTCAAAGACATTCAGCCTTTAAAATGGATACTTAGATTTAGAAATTATTTTAAGCATGCCTGCCTGTGCACAAGCACGCTGTGGAAAATGACCAGAAGTAAATGTCTCTGTATAGCAAGGAAGAACATGGTACTTTCTCTGTTTTCACTTTTCAGTGTCATCTAAATTCTTGATACTAAACATGTTTTGCTTTAGTAATTAGAAGAAGAAACATTTTTTTAAAAACACGGGCAGTTTTCATGAAGTTTTTATAAACTGCCCAGGACAATTTGTATTTTTTAAAAAGCAGGATGAGTAGGCCAATTGGGATTCTAGGCACAGACCACTGATGGTTTTGTGAATGACTCAGACACTCTAGATTTTGGAGTGGTGTTAACAATTATTTAGGACCTCACTAGGCTTTCACAGCAGTAGAAATTGAAATCCCTGGTCTTCGCCAGGGAGGTTTCCCTGGTGCCAGATGGGGGTAACAGGTCCTCTCCCTTCACCATACTGTATAACGAGGCATCCACACTCACCTATTCTTGGTTTGTAGGGCACCGTTTCATAATGAGGCCTGTAATCTCTCACCAGCAATTCCATTTGGCTTTGACAGGCGTGTGTTCTCTAGTCTTTAATTCTTTGAGGTCAGCCCCGTGTCTGGTGTGTTATAGGGAAGACACACATTTCCATCAACCCGCGGAACCTGGAAGAAGCCACAGCAGAGCGCAAGGCCCTTCTTAGCTGTTTCACTCTCAAATGCAATTTGCTCCAAAGGAATTTTCCTATTTGGCTTCTAATACGTTGATGAATTATTGAAATTTCAATTACTTTTGGGTCCCAATTTAGCAGGATGGAGACATCCAAGGTACTTAATATGAAAGCTTTCCAGTCCCTTTTAGAGAAGGGTTTGCCCCGGAGGGTTGGCTCCAGGGCTGGCAGGGGCGAGGCTCTGTCCTCCTGTCTCTGGGACTAAAGTGCAGCGTGGCCTTGGAAGTCCCTTAGGTCATTGCTCCTCCAGATGTGGAACCCTGACCAGGAGCATCATCATCTCCTGGGAGCTTGTTAGATGTGCAGATTCCTGGGCTTTGTCTGCATCTACTCTGTCAGAACCCCTGGGGTGGGACGCTGTGTTTTTAACAAGCTGTGAGGCATTCTAGTGCACCTACCAGTTTGGAAAGCCCTGCTTTGGATGTCCTGGTGTTAATTCTTCCCAGCAGGGCCTGTCACCCACTTGTATTGGCCCAAGGATGCTGTAGTCAGTTAGCCCTTTAAGATAGACGTTGTACCCAGTGATAACACTGTGACCAGGGTCATCAGAAAGACAAATTCCTGCCATCTATCTTCACCACCTGGAACACTTTCCCTTTGTTGCTGAGCCATAACCATAGAGAAGCAGGATTTGGACATTTACATTCTGCGCAGGTGAATGTGTGTTCTACAGGTCATTCAAAGGGCCCTGTCTTTCATTTTCACACAAAAGCACTACTTAGGTATTCCTTCCACGGCCCCCGGGATAATCCATCTTGAAGTCCCTGGGGGAAAGCTGTGGGTGCCACCTCTGTCCCTCCACCTTAGCCTCGCCTCCTTGCCAGTGCACATCTCTCTTCTACACCACGCATACTGAATAACCTGCAGTTCCCCAAACCCAGCCTGTCACGGTGATGCCTGTGCTCTTGTGTAGACTGCTCCCCCCAGCCTGACCCCCCACACCACCAAAGCCAGCCCCATACTCATCTGACACAACCCTGTTCACCTGGAAGACTGCTCAGTGCCACTCCCTCCTTACCCTTCCCTGATCATTTCAGATGGAGGCATATCCTTCCCCTTCTCTGCTTCCTACACCACTTTAGATAGACATGTATAGCACTCAGTGTGCACTCTGTTGAAATTGTTCGTCTCTCTCCCCTGAGCTCCCAGTTCCATGACAGTGGAGATGTCATCCTGGCTCCTATGTCTGCAGTGCCCAGCACAGCATCGGGCACAGGAGGCTGAATGAATAGACATTTCCTAAAGATGGTCATTTTACCTCTACCAGAAGCTTCCAGTGCCTTAGATGACAGGTTCGCCTCATATTTGTGAAACAAAGATGATGGTCAGTGGCAGGTCTGATTAAGAATAGAGTGACATGTATGTGGACTCAACCAACTTAGCTTTTCAGTGAAACTGATCCATTAATGTAAATCAGCGTCCTACATCCACCCATCTGGCTGTCTCCCTTTGGCCAGGGAAACCCTCTGTGTCTAAGGGCATTATTATTGTTTCAGGTGCGAGAGCTTCAGACTCGACTCCAGAGTGTGCAGGCCACAGGGCCCTCCAGCCCCGGCCGCCTCACTTCCACCAACCGCCCAGTTAACCCTAGCACCGGGGAACTGAGCACGAGCAGCAGCAGCAATGACATTCCCATCGCCAAGGTGAGCTTCAGGGACTGCGGGGATATCTCCTGTTATCTGGAGGCACCACCCTCTGCTGAGCATGGCCACTGTGCAAGCATGCGATTAGCTCAGACGGCCCCGAAGGACTTCCCCTGGGTCCTGCACAGGCCTCCTACACTGGTGCTGCAGGGACAGATAACCCACTAATAGTTTTAAGTCTCTTTCAGCTGCAACCTGGACTCCAGCTCTCATTAATCAGCTGGCTGGAGCATGTCACCACTGACAAGTCATTGTGGAGAGTGAGACGTTTTGTCAGGCTCTACAATGCTAAGGGGTGGGTGGAGAGTTCCTCTCAAGGACTAGGGTTCAGCCCAGCAGGGGACCCTGAGTGATGAACCACGATCTCCTCACTCATAGGACTGACAGCCCTGCCAGCAGGAAAATAGATTATGATGGGGAGGCCATGGCAGCTGTGAGAAGTGGCCCTGCCCACTCTGCTGCAGCCCCAGGCTCACATGTTGAGTTCAACCTAGAGAGACTGTTCAAACGATCCATCTCCTCTTCCCCAGTAGCCCCACTGGTCTCCATGAGAAGATTGGTTCTCAACTATCAAGTTGAGTAAGTTAGGCCAAAACAGTGTGTCTCAACCGAAGGTGACTTTTGTCCCCCAAGGGATATTTGTTAGTGTCTGGAGACTTTTTTGATGATCACAACTGGAGTGCTTACCAGCATTTTGTGGCTAGAAGCTAGAGATGCTGCTGAACATCCTACACTGTACACAACAGCCCCCACCACAAAAAATACCCAATCCAAAGTGTCAGTAGTGCTGGGGTTGGAAAACCTTGGGTTACATGGGTCGTAGAAAAACTGGACAAGTTAGTTGTTTTTAAGGTATTAATTAGTTGCCGTGGTTAACCAGTAGCCCTATGTAAACAATCTGAACAGTATATCTGGGGAGTGAGGTATTCTTTGTTGATGATTTCTTGTTTCCCTTTTTAAGATTGCTGAGAGGGTGAAGCTGTCCAAGACCAGGTCTGAATCTTCATCGTCTGACCGGCCAGTCCTGGGCTCAGAAATCAGCAGCATCGGGGTGAGTGTCCATGAGAAGTAAGGCAAGAAACTTCCCAACAGAGCTGTACAGACAGTGACCTAGAGATAATGGAAGAACTTTCAAAGTTCACCTCCAGTAAACCAGTTAATTATAATAATAAATCACACCCGATTTCCTTCCAAAGAGCCAGATTAAAATGTACACTGTTTCCACATGGTGAATTACTTCTTCAGCTATAAGGGAGACTTTTTCCCTTGATTGGAAACCATTCAGAAAGAAATGATTTAGGTCTAGTTACTGGTGATGTACCTGAGAGTCTTGAACTATCTGCTTTATATCACCCTGCTCCCCAGAGACTGAGCAAGTCTGGAAGCTCTGAAATAACTCCACCTTTTGCACATCCCTCTTGAAAGGCAGTGCTCTCTCCAGTGGGGGCGAATGCTGCCTTTGAAGTGTAGCCCGATGCTGTGACAGACCAGAACCTAGCACCAGAGTGTTCATTTGTAGAGCCTGCGAACCCCCTGGGGCTGTAAGCTGATGGGTGGTGGAAAGGCGGTAGTTTAGGTTCCTTGGGGGATACCTTTTAGGATGAGGTTAGAAGAGCCAGCTGTTTGATCCTCAGGGGTTGAGAGGGCCTGAATAATGCTTTTAAGGCCCTAATTTAGAATTCTGCGCTGAGCAAAAATAGTATGCATCCAGATTCCATGCCTAATTTAAATTATGAAATTAGAGTCAGCTGCTTTCCTTGGCTGTAGCAGCCAGAGACAAGGGTCTGCAGTGGCAGAGGTTCAGGAAGGGTAAAGGGAGTCCAGACTCTGCTCAATATCCAAAATTTTAGTGACTCTAAGGAGGCATTATCCCCCAGCAGCATGCATTTGAAGGATGCAGCTGTATTTTGATCCTGTTTCTGTGTTGCTTTCACAACACATAGTTAGTTTTTTATGCTATAATCATATTCTACAAACTGTGAAAGATCAGGGTAACCATCTCCTGGTGCCTGGAATAGAAGCTTAAAATGGTTTTGCATGCAAAGCATGCCTGGGGATCGGTGCTCCTGAAGCGACACTGTGCTGACAGGGATTAATGCTCACCTGCACAGGTATCCAGCAGCGTGGCAGAACACCTGGCCCACTCCCTTCAGGACTGCTCCAACATCCAAGAGATCTTCCAAACACTCTACTCACACGGATCTGCCATCTCTGAGAGCAAAATTAGAGAGTTTGAGGTGGAAACGGAACGGTTGAACAGGTAAGGAGGAATCCTGTAGACTTGAGGGGTGGTAGGAGCTGCCCTCCCTCCCCTTTGCAAAGATCGATTGAGGTGGGCTTGTACATTGTGACACAGCGATGGCAGATCCGT